TGACTACATGCAATGACAGAGGGCTATGCTGAAGCTTCCTTTAGTCACGTCTCAATACCACCACTTTCAGTGCTGCGATGTGGTCTGCTTCACTTTCTGCTTTGGAGGAGCAGAAGACTCGTTCCACTCTCTGCTATGGACCTCAGATGGAGTTTGGTGTTTATACCCACTGACAAATTGTTGCTCTGCGCTCCATCTATCCGCCGTCCACAGTGACAGCTTTTGTCAAAGCGACCCCGTGAGATAGGGCCCACTCTATTCTAAACAAATCCGACTTTCTCTTAATCAGGAGGCATGCCACCCTAGAATTGTGGAGGTGGATGCAGGTAATTGTAGGCTACATAATGATCACGAACCGCGCGTCCACATCTGCAACCTTATTGGCATGCTGCTGCAAACTTTTACCACCTCCCTCCTCCCTCGCCTCTCATACCTCGGCCTCATCCTCCTCATTCTCCTCCCATCCTTTTCTTCTTCTCACCTTCTCCCTTCCTTTCATCAATCCTCACCAATATGGTCGCCATCACATCCACAGTCTGCTTCCCCTTTGCCCACATCAACTTGTCACACCTTCCACATCTGTCATCAGTCGTCGGCAGCCAGTCGCAATACAACTACAAAAGAGCAGTTGACACTGAGACATACCTCGGTGGAGCAGGACCACACAACACACCAAGCATATTGACAAAACCGTTGCCCTTGGAGAAGGGATTGTCTCGCCCCATTTGACGCAGTGTCTTTGGAAAGTGTCTCACCTACAAATGCAAATACGACCAACTTTGATGAAGTCCTACAACTCCCAGTCACACAACTCGGCATCTCCTTTGATGTCGCCGAAACACCAACCAGTTGCCACTTGCCAACACTTTGCAATCAGTGCCTCCACCTCAAACTCACATCTTCGTGGGTGGAAATCTCGCGACAGCTAAGGTAGACGTGGTAGAAGGCCAGACCGCATATGGAAAGGGAGAGGAAGATGGTGGATAGGATGCCTATGAATGTGGATAAGGGGAGGCACGGAGTTAAGGAATGACAAGTGCGCATAGAGAGGCGCAAAGCACAGCCTCGTCATGCGAGCATCGGTAGAATGGTGAAGAATGTGAATTGTGGCCTGAATGAGAGGCCAGTGAGGAGGTGAAAGGATATGATACTGGAGTTCGCCTCACTGTGTCGGTGATGTTCGTGGTGGTGCGGTAGGCTAAAAGGAAGAACAAAAGGCGGACGGTGGACGCTACTTAAGTCTATAAGTAGAGTAGTGGTGTTGAGGCTGGATATTGTTTTGGATTATTCGTAAGTTCCACAAGGCTGCGCACACCTGGTCAGATGGCCGAACCTGCATTGACCCTCATCGTTACTTTCGAAATAGTATTTATGTGTCAAGGGAGGGAATAAAATGTTACACTTGCTAGCACTTATTGGGATCGGGTGCCTTCATGGCGACGGCTCGTGAGCTCACGTTACGTGGTGGCTGTTGTAGGAGACGGAGCAAAGCATTATATCTGAGCGTTGCACTACCATAACCTACGAAAGTGGGAAGGCAAGCGAAGCCATCGAATAGAATTACGCCTTAGTAAAATTGGGTACACTAGCAGTCGTCGAGCTGCAGTGGTTTCGATTCAGTCATGGGCGCTGCCGCACAAACACGTCATCTCAACTGCACTACCCCCAAATGCAACAGCATTTCACACTAATGGAAGAGTGGAGTGCAGTCACTCCACATAACTAACAAAGTGTGATGGTGAACAACACACAGAAGTGCTAGTATAAATGGTACTGGACGACCAACTGATCACATGTCTCCACAGCAAACCAATGCAAAGTACGAGTCCACCTCGCCCACACTCGCCCCACCGACAGTAGAGTGGGGAAGGAGATGGATGGCGCAACGCTGCATTGAGCCCATCAGCTCTTTTCTGCATTAAAAGGGGAGTCAGGACGAGACGATGCATTCTCGTTGCGCACCTTGACAACCGGTAACGGTGTTCGAGGCGCAAGCATGGTCACCAACACGTGCACGTGCGTGGACGCTGTCAGGGCTTATCTCTGCATCGACTGCGATTCGCATAATCCACACTGGTGTGAGGTCGATGTGGATGACTGTGGCCTGCGTAGTGTTTACACCAACACCAATAGGACTAGTGTGGTTGAGAGTTCTGCAATGGGTAGTCATTTCACCCTTAAACCTTTCCTGTACACCGTAAGTCCTCAGCATCCTTCCTTAGCGGTAATGCCGCTCATCGGTCACGCAACGACAAGGGGTGAGGAGGAAGAAGGTGCTGACAACAAGAGAGATGAACGGAATGCCCTCTACCACAAGATCATTTAGGATCTCGGAGCTCTGCTTACCCAATAACTTAATTAGGGAAGATATATATATATATTGATGCCAGTCCATGTTGGTTCAGAGGAGTGGAAAGTAATGATCAGAGCGTCGATTCTGCTGTCGCATGTCGGATGTCGGGGATTATTTATGGTCAGCACAGATTTGAAAGAAATGTGATCCAAGTGAGGAGGGGATGAATGAAAGCGACCTGTTTATGGATGGTTACTTCTGCATCGTCATAAACACATGTGGTGTCAAATCATCCACCACAGTCTATAGTTAATCGGCATGGTTATCGACAAGGGTGGAAGACCGCGAACGTAATCCCCCACTGGAGCCAGCGGCATGAAACGACATCACATGCAGAAGGAAGGTGACACCTGGTCTTGTCACTTTGTCCTCATCCACATCGACCTCGCACCAGTGTGGATTATGCGAATCGCAGTCGATGCAGAGATAAGCCCTGACAGTGTCCACGCACGTGCACGTGTTGGTGACCTTTCGTTCCGTGCGGATGATCCACTGACTCACGTAAATATACGGCTGAGCTTCGTGTCCGCTCAGTTGTGTCATCGCATCGACGCCCAGTGGACGTGTCGCTCCCTCCTCCACTACAGACCTCGTTTGCTCGCTCTTCTTCCTCATCCTACTTTGCCTCGCAAGTACACATCCGATGTCTCAGAGAGGGAGGTCACTTTTGTCGCCTAGACGAAGTGGGTTTAGCCGAGCCTCATCCAGGGGCGGCAACTTCAGGTAGGCAATGCTACTCTTCCCTCACCAACATACTAGGTTCCGATCACCAAGGTATTCGTTAAAAGATTCCCCATCTCAATCCAGTTATCAGCAGCATGTTCCAAGTCATGCTGTCTGTGGTGGCAGTGACAGTGCCGGTGATTCCAATCCCTCTTTGCAATCACCTACGTTTAGTACAGGGAACTCTCTTAATCCAACGCAAGGCAATCAAAATCCTACGTCCACTCCCATACCTCCCTTTGGTTACCCCACCCCATCCTTCTTGTGCCCCTGCGCTTCATATGGATGGTGCCCTACGGCACCGAATACATCAATTCAACCCATCGTTGCTGCTGCTGCTGCTGCTGCCGCCGCAGCTGCAGCTATGACAGTTACTGCCTCTACTGTTTGTTCGTCATCAACCCTGAACATGCTGGAGAGTAGAGGCACAGTATCCACAACAAGCGGGTCTTCCCAACCCATGCATCTCTCTTCCAATCAATATAGTGTTAACAATGCAAACAATACGCTTAGCAAACAAATCGGAGCGTTCGGAGGTTTTGGGACTACTGAATCAAAGACACCTTCAGGTGTCTCGGTACCCCAGCTGAACCCTACAGCCTCGGTCTCTGAGTTAGTGAATGCGCCTTTTCTTGCCACTGCTAGACTTAACCTACCCTTTCTCACTCCATCTTAACATTTTTTTGTGCAGGAGCTTGTCTGAGGACCATACTGACCCAACTCCATGTCAGCCGAAAGGTTGTTTGTCGCTCCTCTTTTCAAATGAGGACGTGTGGCCATCCCGTGGCAAGGGGTCATACCAGCTGACGAAGCGTTGAGTTGACGATCAGTATAGAAGTCCTTTTCAAAAGTAGTACCGCTATTATTAGCTCCACCAGCATTAGCTGATGCCCCACCCCCTACCCCATCCACAGAACTCAATTCTTTCCTCACCTGCTCCGCCCTCCTCCTTCCTCTTCTCCCCTTCTCCCTTTCACAACATTCGACAAATGCCCGGCATCAGAGGCGGACTTGCTTCTCCTGCGCCTCGTGTGGTCCCTTCCCCTCATCTGACCCCGCTTTTGTAAGCACATGCCTGCTTTGAACGGCAAAATTCGCACCATACCAACGCTGCTGGTGGCGGCTAGCAGTGTGGCAGAATTGGAAAGCCACTCACCGCGACATGATATGCACGAAGAAGTGCTGCGAGCAGGTTGGTTTGGCATTCCATCTTACCACTTCAGATAACTGTGACTCAATTGCAGCAGTCATTAAGATGTAAGGCATGCCCTTCTGTTCTGTGGCTGGGATATTTCTGTGGTGGGAACGATGACGCTACAAGCCTGTCAGCATGGTCAGAGGTGACTGGTAGTAAACTTTTGCGTTCCTCCAAACCACCACCTTCGAGCTAGGTTCTGTGTGGCATCAGGGTTTGAGGTTTCGTAAGCCACTTATACGCCAACCATCAAGGCGAGGCATTGCTGCCGTCTTGTGAGTTTGGGAGTTCCTTCTATCCTCGTGTTCATCTAAGCTGGTTCGTAGTGCGATCGATTTGAGGCAAGTGACAGACCAATTTTAACAACCAAAATGTTTCCAGCACATACATAATAGTAGGGCCAACGCACAGGCAGGAAATAACAACACGCATGCGAACACATCCGTGGTGCGTGATATCGCACCAGATTAGTGGTGGCAAAGTACAATTCCCTTGCGATGGTAGTAACAAATATGCTAGAGTCTGGAATCCACTGATCGTAGAGTGGTTAGGTGATTACCCGTCTCATTACGACTGTTAACAATGCATCTAAACTTGTAAGAGAAGTTCATTTGCACTAAAAGCATTCACCCATACCAAGTAGTTGGGATGCCGAAACACATGCTGCTGCAATCATGGTAATGTGCTTAACAGTGAAGATGAAGGAGGTGACGAAAGAAGGTGACACTGACGAGCGAAGTGAGTGAGCTCGGTGATCGGGTGTCGATCCTGAGTTTCGGTGGATGCTTAGTTCGCCCCGTGACAACGCTGGTGCATAGTGCCTCATCGCCACACAAGATTAGCATTGACCAGTCCATTGGCTGAGAAAAGGGCGAAGAGGGTATATATCACCTTCCAGACGTCGGTTTACACTGTATTTCTTGTCAACCCACTCAGCCCACATGTGCTGCATGCATACTCTAATAATTGTATGCGCAACGGAAATGTCGGCCTCCGTACCCGTCTAAGGGCGGGAACTGAAAGCATGCGATCGCTGAAGGGTGGCCGCACTACTAGTCATTCGCATCTGCTTTCCTTCATCATGACAGCTGTAGCACCGCATGCTGCCAACGGAACTGCCAAGTTATAAACAACTGTTTGGCGGTGAAAGCAAGGCATGAGCCTCCAGAAGGCGGCACTGCCACACACCTACCTACAAACAACGGCAAGTTAAAGTGAGAGCGTTTTGCCGCCCACTCCTCGGGTATGGAAAAGCCACCAGTGTGATTCAATACGGTCTCAGTTTCCTTCCATATGCGTTAGTTTGGCCAACAGGTTGCCTGTCGTACCTTGCCCAACAGCTACTTCGGCTTCCTGGTCATGAGATAAACTTAAGTAGGCGTTCTCTTCTTTGCATCACCAATTTGTTCATCCATGGAAATTTGCTTGACTTCATCTGCGCAATGGAATTTCAGCTTCTCTTAAGGCTGTTTAAATTCCATCAGTTGCGTGGAAGGGGAAGTAGAAAGAGGAAGTGGACACATGTCCTTGCAGGATGCAATGTCTTCCGGGACGGCACTCGGAACGGCTAAAATATAATTCACTAGGCCAAACAGCCAAAACTCGGTATGTCACCACGAATCGAAAATGTTGTATTAGGAGGTGGTATTGAGACGTGACTAAAGGAAGCTTCAGCATAGCCCTCTGTCATTGCATGTAGTCA